GGAGGTTTACCTGGGTGGTCGACAAATGCCTTTGATGTCGACACCCGCGCGTCCAGACTACCACGCTGAGCCGACAAACAGCTGATCGGCTCAGCACGGCAGCCATGTAAATTTAAATGAAGCGGCGATTATTTAAATCGCCGCTTCCTTTTCCTATGCCTGGTAGCCTAATCTACATACCTCTGGCGACAGAGGCATGTAGTCTAGACATACCCACAGACTCTTCTGTCAACTCCCCCAAGTTATTTTCATTCCTTTTGCCCCATGCCCTCCAATCTGCTCTCATCCAAGTCCTGCTTCTTTCCCACCCTATACAGTTCTTCATTCCAGCCTCATTCTCCTCACCTAGTCAGTCCTAATCTGCGCATCTCAGCCTTCTCACTCCAGTCTGAGTCTTCTTGGCTAGCACATTCTAGGATCACCTCATCAAAACCTTTATCCCAGTGTGTCTCCCAAAGTTCCACTCCATTCCCAGTCCCAGTTTCCTTGCCTAGCAATTCCCAGTTTCAGCTCAAGACTCCCAATCTCAGTCTCTGCCTTCCATGTCCAAGCTAAATCTCTGCTTCGGTGGTCCAATTCCCAACTACTTGTCCATCTGGTGATAGTCACCCCTTGTTCCCCAATTCTCAGCTTCAGTTTCTCTTTTATCAACTTGGCAAGCCTCCAGTCCCAGTTTCCACCCACCACCCACAGCAATTGATTCAGACAGCTTCATTCTTAACTTTACCTGAGGTCAGCATGAAGATCATTGAGAATGCAGAGACACATTCCTCCTGCTCTCAGTTCAGGTGCCTAAACCTAGACTCGCCATGATTCGCAGCAGCTCAGAGGTACAATTGCAGGTACTGAGATACTGATCATCCTTGGGTTGGAGCATGATCTGCTCATCTGGAATCTCTGGGAAACTTAGGGGCTAACATGGAACTCGACACAGACTATGTGCAAAACTGATTATTTCCAAGGTTCCAAGGTTCCAAGGTTAACAGTTTCATCAGATTTGGGTAGATTTGCACAAGGACAGCAAAAGGGTTTCTCTAAGCCAAATTTATGTCCCTGCTCCAAAATATGGGGTAGTAGAGATTTTTTTTTAATTCCAAAATTCTATAACATGTACAAAACAATGTGTTTATTCCTAGCCTTATTCTCAGAAATAACTGAAATCTGTGAGGCTAAACATTTCTGTATAAATTCAGCCAGCTTGGAAAATTTCAGCCTGAATAAGCAAAGTAAGGCGAAGTTATAAGAAAGGAAAACAGGCTCTTATCATTGGAAGGTGTCGAGCAATATTGACAACAGGCAGAGCTTCCATCTCTGTCTAGAATGTACATTGATTAATTTCAGTTGCTAACTATAAAAACTATTTCAGATACATTAAAGATGGTAGTTTTAGGTTATATTTCTGGAACATGTTGTAACTATTGTACAATATAAATTCCTACAAATACAATGAGTCCCGGGCACCTTAAAAGCTAACACATTTATTTATGCCCAAATAAATTTGTTAGTCTTCAGAGTACCACAGGTCTCCTTGTTTTTGCTGAAACAGACTTACATGGCTACCACTCTGATACATTGCTAAGTAGATGTAACTATTTTATCAAGTAAAAGAAAGTAAGTGTTTTCGGTGGTCAGGTATAAACTCAGAAAAATATTCACACAAAACCATGCAAAACTGATTCGTATTTTGTTAAGCAATATTATTTTCAGGTGACACTATAAAAAGTGTAAATTTTATCATTTAAACAGGGTATATAAAATTAATAGCTAATATATTAATTACTTATATAGGATAAATAATATATGAATGTTAGCTTGGAACTAAAATTAAAAATGCAAAGGCTTTTTCAAATAAAAATTAAATTTAAATAATCTTTGAAGTGTGAAAAATTTATTCATCTGGATATTTATAAAAAGAGAAGCAAGTAGAAATTCCAGTAATAACAATCTGTATAAATATGTGATGCCTTTCAAATAAAAATAATCTGCCAGACCATAAATAAGTCTTGCCTAACAATATCAAAATGATTGTCAGAAATTTAATTCATGGAATGTTTTAAAAAGTGTGTGATAATTATAGCATTTTAAGAATATCAGCAATTAAAAAGGGAATATGCTTTAATATTTATTGCTATATGTAATTTTTAATACATGCATAAGTTTAAAAAAAATGACATTATATAACTGTATAACTGGTATAAGGCAACTCTAGTTTAATTATGTTGGGTGATCAGTCATATTTGATATTTTTCTCATGCTTTATAGGCTATACAAAATCAATGATGTATAAAGTAGAAATTTTAAAAAGCGCATTAATTGTTATAATTGCAAAAGCTAATATTCTAATTCATAAATCATTGCTAATTATTAGCTTAGGTAACTAGGTGAGATTCTCTCTGTCTCCACACATACAATATATATTATTGTACTATATCTATATAAATGTTCATGAATACAATTCCCTCTGAAATTACTGCACTTCAAGTGCAAGTGACATTCCTTCTGCTACTCACAAGTGTGGCCGAATGCTTATCTTTTCAGTGACTTCCAGAAGGGAAAAAAATGGAATTAGGGATTGCCTGTTGAACATTCAGAAAAATATTCTGCCATGTAGTTGTTGAAGTATGTGATCCATAGAACCAGTCCACATCATTCTTCTTCAGTCCGGCAAACTGTATCAAGGGTGAAAACTTCCCCACATTGAAACCATAATTAACATTCCACTTCTGATATTCATGCGCAAGGTACAGACTGTCAACATAAAGCATTTTCCAAACAGGGTCCACAATATAGGAATGTGTTCTGTAAAGTGAGCATGGTGCTAAGTAGGAACAATTTTGCCATGGCGCGTAATAACTCATACCAAGATCATGCTCCAAATCCTTTTGACGCCCTCGTTTTCGTGTTCTTCGGTGTTGCCTAAAGTCCCCATGAACAAAATCATTTACATTTGTTGGATGGATGCTCCAATAATTACCTTTCCCATCCTCACATCTTCCCACTTTGATAAAACAATCATTTAGTGAAAGGTTATGTCTCACACTGTTTCTCCAACCTTGATCTTTGTTCCTGTAGTAAGGAAAATTTTCCTCGATATACTTGTAAATTGCAGCTAAATTCATCTTATTTGTAGGGGAGGAGAGAATTGCCTTTGCAATTAAGGCTATGTAAGATAAAGGTGGTTTTTCCAGAAAGCCTTCTTCATGCTTGCTCATGGAAAGACAATTGTTGGTCCACAATTCAGAACTGGAAGGTTTGGATGGAAACCTAGGAGTCAGTTGTAATTCTTTTTCTCCTCCCATTTTGTCTTTAATTTCATCATTGTTTTCAGGATTACTATCAATCATTATGGCAGTATGATGGCTCAATGTTTTACTTTAAGGTTACTCGTATTCTACTATAAAAAACTCAATGAGAGAATTTGTTCATTGAAGCTAAACTGCAGCAGAAGTAAATGTTGGGCACTAAATGTGCTGCCGTGACTTGTTCAGATTCCTATTTTATACTGTGTTAAGTCAACATCCTAAACAATGAAAATAGAACTGCCTATATTTACAAAAATCAAGGTACAAATCCTAGCTGAAGAAAAAAATGCAAAATTATTATATGTTAAGTATGAAGATAAATAGACCGTGGCATTAGCCTTTTACTTCATTATGATCTTGGAAAACACCCTTCAGTGTTCCTCATTGAAACCTAATGATTAATGAAAAAACTATTGTGGTTAGATAGCATTGTGGAAAGACTGAACCCTTCACTGATATGCTGTACAAACTGAAATCGACACATTGGTTTCTGTGTTCTACACTAGTCAAACATGTTGTATCTAGTACAATAAATGTTTGCTTTTCACACTAAAAGGAAGTACCATATGAAACGAAACACGGTGCCATATTCTATGGCTGCAAATTACCTATTGATTAAATGGAATTGTAGCATATCTCTTTTTTCATAATTTTCTGGGCATAGTTATGCAACTGTTCTTTCAAGTCGAGTAGTACTTATTCATGTGACTGATCCCACTGACCCCAGGAACTACTTGTGTGAGTAAGTATCACTCAAAGTATGTAGGTGTTTCACTGAGGACTGGCAAAACATACAGTACAGCAAGAACTGCATCATTACATTAAGAACCAATTCAGGGCATTCTGAAATCTGACACCACTAAGGATAGGTGTATGAATGTCACTTAATCTAATGTGAGCACCTGGGGAAATTCACTACATATTCTCCAGTATGTTTTATAATTAAAAACCAAACAAACAATTAAAGAGTTAAGAATATGAAGAAACTTGTTCTCCAGAGGAACGCATCCTCGCAGTTCCTTTTAAGTATTTAAAAGGTTTGTTCTATTTTGGGGCATTTTCTTTGTTCAAATATGCATTTTTGATAGAAACAATGATTCTGTGGAGACAGTTGTGAGGATCGCTTCTGTGAGGCTGGAGCTCTTGGCATTTTGAAGGTTCCTTGGGCTCTGAAAACCCCTGAAAGTCTAGTCCTCCAGATAATACCTCTGAAACCCAATCACAAAGAGAGTACTCAGAATAGTAAGGCTACTGATGCTAACGATCATATCCTGTGCAATCCCATTGGTTGCTAACGCTGTGACCCTATTCCCAAGCTCCAGTGAATAAACCTAATTTGACAGTCTTAGTTTTTCCACATTGACATCACAAACGTGTGGACAGCTATAAAATCACCTCAGTTAGAACTGTTTGGGTGGAAAGGGATGTGGGCTCAGAATCAGTTGGAGAATCGCCCACCCACCCACTCCAACCATTTATCAATTTGCTGAAGTCAAACAGTCACTCGGGAAAAAGCAAGTACTGTCTGTGGCCAAGATAATGCCTTTTAGATGCAGCCCATTCTAAGCTGCAGTGCAGAGTCACACTGCCCCACAAGAGCATGTCTCTTTGTACGAGCAGCTGGACTAAAATGCTACTCATGATATATTCCTGTATAGATGTAGTACAAATGTGGAAAAGGGGAGTGGGCCACAGATACTTTTTGAGCATCCAATACAATAAAAGGTCTGTATTTGCAAACATAAGAAATATGACCTAGAGATATCACTATAGATTTACCAGCGAACTCAGGATCAGATTGACAAACCCAAAGTACCACAAGGATGGACCCCAGCAACCTGCTCTGACACCTTACTCTGCTGCTGATGCTACAGTCCCTCAGAGTGGCACGACACTGTGGTTTATGGGTCTTCTGAATGCAACAGGCTTTAATTGAATTAGTCTTTGGAACCCAGTTTTTTTAAATCAGATGTCCACATACAGAATCTAAATACAATTCTAAAGTTCAGGGGAGTCCAACCTATGGACTATGGGTCATACAGAGCTCACCAGGACATTTCATAAGACCCATGACCTGCTTCAACACAATACACTAACAAGTGATTTGTTGGTGTTTATCATCTTGTTTATATCATTGTAGTTTACACAAGTGTGTAAATAGACAATATTGTACATAGGAACAATCTACATAGATCTGAAACAAGCTGAACGTAAAATTATAAATCAATACAGATGACATTAAAATATGTAGAATCTGTTTAGTGCCCACAATATTGTGCTTACGTTTATGTGGCCTTCTTGTGTAACAATGCTTGGTATCACTGCTATATGACAGGTCTCAGTGCCAGTGCATCCATCATTTTTGGTGACAATGATGAAGTGTCAGTTTCCTTTTCGTCCTGCTCAATCAACTGCTAGGTTGAACTAGTGCATAAAGTTGGGTCAGAGGGAGAAACTGCTGACACAGCCATCATTCTTCACGTTTGGTCCATTGTCTGAGGCTATGAACCAAGGAGAGAGAATGGATGTTGTAAGTTCTTTGAGAGAGGGACTGTCTTTTTGTTCTATGGTTAGGGCTACTAGGTGCTATGGTAATAGAAATAAATAAAAATGTTCTGCAACAAGATCAGGTTGCTCTTCAGACACACACAGGTGCATGGTGGTGTGCTGATACACATTGTTTTCAAAGCATTTACTAATGCATTGTCTAAAGTGCTGATAGAATATTGGAAGCAGCCAACATTACATCAACACCTTCAGACCAAGAGGAGGAAAATCTCAGGCTACTTCTGATAGGCTGTGTCTACACTGACACGATCTTGCGCCAGAAATATGCAAATGAGGCTAAGCGTGGAATATTGCTGAGCCTCATTTGCATATCTAATGAGCCGCCATTTTGTGGAAGAGGCTCTTGCACAAGAAGGAGCATCTACACTGCCCCTTCTTGCGCAAGAAAAACCCTCTTGCACAATGCCGTTATGCTGTAGACAGCTCCTTCTTGCGCAAGAGCCTCTTCTGCAAAAATGGCGGCTCATTAGATATGCAAATGAGGCTCGGTGATATTCCATGCTTAGCCTCATTTGCATATTTCTGGTGCAAGATCGCGAGAGTGTAGACATAGCCCCAATGTTTTTGTCAGAGACTAATTGGTATGGCAATTTAGAAGAAAGTTATACAATAATGTCATGGGGATGGGGTGGATTAGCAGAATTGGATTTTGTTATCATTTGCTATACATGGAATTTTCTTGAAAAGATTGCTTGAGCCAATACTGAGAGAGTAATGGGCAATTCTATTCTGATAAGTGACTATGTAGGAATGGTGCTCTCTCACTCAGCTGATTTGGTTTTGGGGACAAAAACATGGCATCACTGGAGTCAATGGGAGTTTTGTTATTGATTGTAATGTGTTATTTGTATTCAGAATATCTTTTTGCTTTAATGACAAAAATAAATATATACTACTGGTGTTACATCCCAAATCTGGGATGCTCTCATCCAGCAACCTTCATGCTCTGACATGACCATGGACTTTTCTGGATGAGAAAGCCCTAGGGCAGGAGGGCCAGCAGTTGGGAGCCCAGTGCAACCCTGTGAGTTTGCTAGCAGCGGGGCAGCAGAAGCCTTGGCAGAGCACCATTGGGACTGTCTGTTGCCTGACAGCAGGGTCGGGACCACAAGAGGAGAAACCTGTCTGGGTTGTGGCAGCCTGGGAGATGGTGGAGGTGGTGGTGGATGGTGGAGCTGCCCAGGGTGGTGGCTGCAGTTGCAGCATTAGTGTTACGGGGCTGTCTGCTGCCTGGCAGTGGGGCTCGGGCTGCAGCTGCAGCAACCCGAGAGGGGAAGATGGCTGTGGCAACCTGAGAGAATCAGTGTGGCCAGGGCCACTTACTGCCCAGCAGTGGAGCGGGTCTGGGACTGGCTTGAAGAGAGCCTAACCAGGCTGAAGGAGCCAGCAACAGGGAGGGGCAGTAGGTTGAGTGACTGGTGTCAGGGATTGCCCGTTGTCCAGCAAATCTTCTCAGTCAGGTCCCAAGGGTGCCAGACAACAGGGGTCCAACCTGTACTTTTATCATAAAAACATTTTTGCTATGTCTGTGAGCACTGTAAAACCAGCACAGGTTTCAGAGAATGAGATGGTTTCAATGCTGGCTTAGAGAGATCCACAGAACGGATCACCCGTTTCCCATTGCAGAGTCAAATTCTCTGCAGCTCCATTGAGATACTCAGAGTCTGTAAGTGAGAGCCGTATATAAGACAGCAAGAGTTACACAGATACAACTTAGCCCTTACAGCTTTGATTAACTTGTGTTGCTCTTCAAATCACTGTTTAGGAAGCTAGAATATTTTGGCAGAACACAGATGAACATGATGTGTGTGTTCTTTCTTACAACCACAGACAAAAAAACCAGTGATCTCAGGATACTCCTCGGGGATGCCAACACCCTGTTTTCTAAATCTTATTGGTCTTTTAACCATCTCTCCTTCAGCTTTTATGACTATCTGAAGTAGTTTGTTCTTTATGGAGAAATCATTTATATATTTTCACCCTACTCCACCTATTAATTAGGATTCATACCCTGTATAAACTGCACTGAGGTGAATTCAATATTGCTGGCTCATGAAGTCTATTTTGTTGCTATAGTAAAGATGCTTCCATGAGATCTCCACTGGAAAGCTCATTACAGTTTCTTGTTCTGGGGAAGCTGGTCCCTGTACTGCTGCCAAAGATTTGTGTGTGTATGGCAGGGGAAGTGTTAATTATTATAGTGACTCCATTCCTGGCCCCATTGCATTGTTTAAAATATTAAATAATATGAAAGTGCTGAAATCTTAATTCAGTATTTGACTTAAGTACTATGCAAAAGAAAGGTAAATAAAAAGGGAAAACTGGAGCCAGAGAAAAGAAGAAGGTCCTAAGAAAATGCTTTGAAAGTACTTTTGATATAATCCAAAGGGGACATAAACTGTTCCTCAGCTCAGAAGTGCGGTTTCTCTTTAAATCAAGACTAAAAGGTAATCTCCAAGTAAGGATTGTTTAGAAACAACTGGGGATAAATTCTACATGTATCGGGTAGAGTTTCAGAACCAGACTAAGCCTGTTCAATTCAAACACTGACATAATTGATGTTGTTTGGCTTTGAAAAAGTTTTGCCCTCCAATATCTATTTCTGGTTTCCAGAAGGGACTGAAGAGAACAACTACTACTTGCCAATAAAAGTCTGACCTATGCTGACAAGAGCATGGAAATTCAGACATAAGGGTGATGCTTGCTACTTATAGCATCTTGTAATGCAGTTACTTATCATGTGATGAAATACTCTTTTGGAGGCAGAGTAGGCCAAGACAGTCTAAGAGAGGGCCTGACCCAGTGCCTATTTAAATCAAAGGAAAGATTCCCAATTACTCAATAGGCATTGGAGCAGGCTCAGCCTGAGCATTTTTTCCTGATTTAATAGGCTTAACACCCACCCCACACTCCCTCTCTACTTAAGCTTCAGCCTGGGTTCCCTATAGTCTAGCAAGAGTTTCAGCCTTCACAGCTTTTGCTAACCCTCCATTTATGCATCTCAATCCTTCCCTTTTTGTCTAGCATTGAGCCAATTTTAAAAGGGCTTCCTGGTGCAATATAAGCCCTTAACTTCTGATTGCCTTCACTCAGCTGCTCTGCCTTATTAGCCCAGTCCTTCCCACCTGTATGGACAGCCAGAGTGTTTCTCAGGGAGTTAATCTCTATCTGCAGGCTACAGGGTCTCTGGAGCCTTTAAAAAGGCTTTCATAACAAATAAAAGAGAAAAAACTGCAGCCTGCAACAGAAAAGGACCAAAGCATTACAGTACTACTACTGTACATAACCTCTAGTAGTTTATACTATTGCTATTGGAATATTGTCTTTGCTTATCTAGGCAAAGCTGGTTTGAGACTATTAGTGAGATAACCCTAATTTCCCACAGACCTCACATGACCCAAATTGCATATAATCAAAATTGCCAAGTGCATGTAGCTGCCAAAACTGATGCAACTTTGACTCCTCATATGCAAGTACAGGAGAGAACCTGCTACTATGTGGGAACTCATCTAGGGAGAGAAAGTGGTGGATGCTGCTGTGGGATCCACCCCTATATCTTCAGCATACAGTCACCACTTTTCTGCAGGTCTGTGCTGCAATGATCCCTTGTCCTGTGTACCGAAACTTCCTAAGCAGCATGTCCTACCTTGTTACAGAGCATGTTAACCACCTGGTTAAGAAGTATTCCACAACAATGTCCCACAATTCTGTAGTTTACAGCAGTGATATTCCAGCAATATAGGCATGTATGTTAGAATACCATTTAAAAAAAATAAAAGGAAGGTCTGCATATATATTTATGTTCTGTCACAAAGGGACAGCATCAACGGAGACACAATGATAACAGGGAAGTCGGGAGGCATAACAGCAATGGCAGCAGTGAGACTAGTGGAGAAATAACAAACAGGAATGGAGATGCACTCACACTGTGAGAGGCAGTGTCTTTAGGCAGTATGGGAGGACAGGGAAATAGCAGTGTTGCCAGGTCATGGCCTTTGCCTCCTGAGTAGTGTAACATTGTACGTTTCTACGTACAGAGTGCCTTGAAAGTGATATCCAAATGCTGGCTGACTAATGGCTTATTGCTGGCATTTAGCCACAGCCCAATGCTGGGGGTGAGGTAGAGCCATTTAATTCCAGTGGGAGCACAGGAAGGCGTTCTGTAGAAAAGGTAGAGGGAGCAATACCCCTTTAAAGGGTAAAACACATGTCTTTCCATGTGCCTGGCTGGCCAGCATAGGGACTGAGATTCTGGGTGGTCTCATAAAAAGGCACAGGCCCCTGTTTCCATATCCAAGTAGCTGCATAAGAGCTAGTTACTATTTACTCCTACAATATCTTTCAGTATAAACAGTAGTTAACAAACTGATATAATTAGTGATTCCTTATAACGTGCCCTCCAATTTAGTCATTACAACTTTTTATTGCATTCTGGGTTAATTTGAATATATATTATTGTAGAGGCTTTAAAATTGGCAAATGTTTCTCCTGACAAGGTTCTAATGGGCATGACTCCAGAATCTGGCCCTGTGGGTCTGCATGATGTAGAAGTCAGAAACAGAATTTGGTTCTTTGTGTCCCTTGCATTCTTGCATTTGGACACAATGTAAATAATGTCTTTAAGAAGAAAAGCAGAAATTACACACAGTAAAGAAATCATTATGTTGACATACATAGCCCACTAGGAGATTTGTGGCTTTACATTTGTTCTGTTATATTTTTACTTTAAAATGCAAATTGATTGTTTAAAAGTATCTATATTTTCACATTTTGAGAATGCAAAGAAGTGAGATTTGTTAAATGTTACCTTTGTTGTTTACCTGTAGATGCTACCTACCAAAAAAGTCAATGCATTATTTAAAAATTATGTCTGAAATTGTAACACTAATGCTGTCCGATTTAAGGCCTTTGGAGAACAGTCCAACATAGTTTACACACCACTGCACCTATTAATAGAGCTGACTCCCTTTTCTTTCAATGTCAACTGTAACATTAATCCTTGTTTTAAATCATAGTGTCTCAAATATCAGCTGCCACTAGTTGCAGAGTTCTCTTTCCGTTTATATCAGAGAGCCCAATGGAGTCTTCAGAAGAACCCAGCCAGATTAGAAGGGATAACTTATTAGAAATTCCTGCTTTAAATGATTCCCTCTCAGAAGATGAAGATATTAAAGAAACCCTTAAGCCTCGTTTCTCTCCCCTTCCCCGAAGGCGGAATTCTGCTTCTTCAGAAGACATGGAACCAGAAGCCCCATCTACCATTACAAGAAAAGTTTCGTTTGCAGATGCATTCGGCTTTGATCTTGTGTCTGTTAAAGAGTTTGATACCTGGGAAGTTCCAATCACATCAAAAAATGATGACTTAGAACTTAAAGTTTTAACTGCAGAGGAATTTTTCCTCTCTCCACTGTTTGTATTACCTGCCTCACAAGAAGACCTTTTGCAAAAAGTCCGTGTAGAGAAGGTAGTGCTAGAGTCAATTGAATTTCTTCCTGGGATAACATGTATGAAGGGCATTATTCGAGTTCTAAATGTATCTTTTGAAAAGTTGATTTATGTGAGAATGTCATTGGATGAGTGGCTAACTTACTATGACATCTTAGCAGAATATGTACCTAATTCTTATGATGGTGAAACCGACCAGTTCTTCTTTAAGATTTCATTGGTTCCTCCTTATCAGAAAAATGGAGCTAAAGTTGAATTCTGTATACGTTATGAGACATCTCTTGGTACGTTCTGGGCAAATAACGATGACAAAAATTACATACTACTTTGCCATAAGAAAGAAACTGTGCAAGAGGTGGATGATGCAACTAATGAAGAGGCTACTGACAAATACATCAAAGGCTGCTTAAAGACAACACCAAGCAGGTGAGGTGATTTCTTATTGTTACTAGTTTTCAAAGTCCTCAAATACAGCAGTCACTATTTAAAATTCAGCATTTGTCGTCAATAATCACAAAGTTGTGTCTGCGGCAGTAGTTTTCCTTATTTGAGAAAAGAAAATAATTGGTAATTTTGTGGTATTTGCTGGCTAATGTCTGCTTTTTTACTGTAACCACCGTGGTTAAACTTTGCTTCCACTTGTTGTCCATGATTAGTAAGACCATTCTGCTCAAGAATAGTCTTCGATAAAGCACAGACTTATAAATAATACAATTATGTTAAGCTGTGAGGTCAAATTTAATCATTAGTAAATATGCCATTTTTACTGTTAATTGGGAAGGTAAATGTGGGTTCTTTAGCTACATTTAAGTAATAAAAATTAAGGGGTAAATACTGATATTCATTTCTTCAGCACATAATTCCATAATTTGGCTGCACACTGAGGTGGGCTTATAGTACCAAAGTTTTATAGTCAGTTCTTTGGCATATCAAAAACCTTTTAAAGCAAAATATATCCCTAGATTTTTTAATGATATTTGTCACAACAGGTGTGTCCTGTGAATCCATGTGGGGATTTTCTAACTGTCATTACAAAACACAGAAACAGTACTGATGGTTCAGGAAGTTAATAACTCGTTTCACCAAGAGCAGCTGGAATGATCTTTTCTGTCATTGGTTGGGCTATGCTGCAGGTGGCATGTAGTGAGATCTTCCTGGCAGTGACAACTGTTTCTATAAGTTCTAAAAAAGCCTAAACAGGTGAGAGGTCCAAAGGAGATTAACAGTGATCTACCAAAACAAAAAACAAAGAAACAAAAAAGACAAACACAGGCACTTTAACATAAGGTTTATCATGCAAATGTGTGTATGTTAAAACAATTACATGCAGATATGTACTATAATAACTAGAAAGCATAAAGTAATGGTTAAATTATGACTTAAATCCACAAACTGAAGGAAATTCAGGAATATATTGGAACTTCTGCATTCCTAGTCTCTATTTCTCAAACATAAATAAAGCAGCATATAAGTGGGCCATGCTCTTGCTCCCATTGAAGTCAGTGGCAAAACTCCCATTGTAATGATCAAGCCCAAGAAGCCCAGTTCTGCAATTTTTGTTCAGGCATCATCCCAGTAGAAATCAATGGGACTGTTACTTGATTGAGGATAGCATGCTTTGTCTACAGCTCTCGTTGCAATATCAAGGCACAATACATGAATTAATGATGAATTTTCAGTCTTAATTTTCTGTGTAACTTCCAAGTCCGACAATACTATTTTACATTTGTGGTTTTAAATGCGTATGGTAAAAGTGAACAACAATGAAGGGGAGACTACTCATACCCCTGGAGATGCAGGGAGAAAGAAGGCAGCTGAGGACTCCAACTTTGCTACCAGATTTGAAAAGCAATACCTCTTCTATCTCTGTGTTACCCAACAGCTGTGATAAGCATCTACCAGTTACAGTTGTTTTTAGGGTATCAATTCTTTGAGTTCTCCTATGGCTTGTCTAGAACCAGGGCATGGGAAAGAACCATGCCATTCTATGGATTCTCCTTGCTGTCCCTGTGTATGCTAACTTTTCATGTGGGAGATAGGAGAATGAGAAATAAAAAAGGGGTAGCATCCCATTTAGCCACCTTTTCATCCAAATGCCCCATATGCCTCTCAACATGTATTTGTTCCTTCCCATACTGTGCATCAGGGAACCACACAGGGTGTATGGTTTTGAGGTAATATAAATAAGTCATGGTGCCTCAGTCACCTAATGGTCCCTTTACACAGCATCTGCAAATTGCACAGACACTGACTTTAAATACCTTGTACACAGCCAGAGGGTTATAAAGAGGCCTTAGTTGAAATAAAAGCATTCTCATAGTGTCTATAGAATCTGTCTGTAAAATTCTCTATGGTCCTTCAGAGATTATATGGTCTTGAATCTAATGTATGTGTGAATCCACAGACTTCAGAAAAATTACAATTTGCATTGGTGTAAGATCAGATTTAGGCTCTGTAGTTCCAAGAGGAGTATTACTTACTGTGCATACAGTACATCCATAGCTAAGGATTATTGCTACCCAGTCATGCAAACTGTTAAGTCTTATCTCATTTTTCTATCAGACAGACATGCAGGCCAAATCAATAAGAACAGCTGGTCAACATTTTTGAATATCAGGGCACTTACTTGGGTACCTATACATGGTGTTAGAAGCTGAACAGGAATTTTAAAAGATATTACATCTCTTCCTAAAAACATGGATAATTTGCCTGACAGATCATGCATCTTGCAGGTATATACATATTTAAGAACTTTTAAATAAAGGGATTTTAAGTAGATAGGTTGATCTACCACAGGACAAACCCTCCTTGCCTAATGCGGTGAGTTCAATGTGGACTGCTTTTGACAATAAGAAGGAAAGGGTAACATGCGCTATCAGAAATAAGTTACTGAGGATACACAATAGTAGTCCATCTTGTCACATTATGGGACCACTCACATGAGTCAGGACTATTTGTCTGAGCACACCATTATTTTTAAGAAACTGGACCCTCAACAAGGACTCTCATACTAAATTTCATAATGAAAAGTACAAATCTTGAATTAACTGAAAAGCAACTGGGTATAATGATCAGAAACACACAAGTGCTTTTTGACATTACTGTTCTGGTTCCCCTTTCTGTATTTAAACGTGGCTAAAGGGATCTATTGTAAACTTTTTGCCTTTCTCTGTGTCCTTTCATGCTGTGATTCAATCCAACATGAATTTTAATATCTGATTTATAACACCTTTCAAAAACTTTATCGGAATTGACAGGTATAACATGTAGAAAAATGTCTTACTATAATAGGATGTTTTTGCAAGCCTCAAAAATCCTTTATATTACAAGGTGTTTTGAATAGTTCAAAAACTCATTCATAGGAGTTTTTATAATGCATGTTATTTGCTTTTTACTTGTTGGCCTGTTTGAAATTGTGCATTTGCCTTGCAATGTCCCATAGGCATACAAAGTCACAGAGGGGAGAAAAAAGAATATTAGAGTCAAATTAATTGCATTATAACATTTAATAATTTGAAGGTCAGTGTTTAGAAAAGAGAACAGCTGGAAAATACATATGATTCAAATCATATGTATCCTAACAGATTAACAAATATAGCGTTGTATAAGCAATAGTTGAAGTGAAAATTGGCAGTTTATGCCACTCCGCTATCTTAACTCTATTTCTCTCAAATAGAAGTTGATTTTCTACTGGTTCCATTAGATAGTGCATAAGAACAAATATCTGTAATCCATAGTAGCAAGTACCTGGTTAGCTGTGGAAACACTTACAGTGAGGCACAATTTGTATTGTTTAACCTCTATACTTTCCACTTTGAGCCCTTTGCTCTCAAGGAAGACAATGAATCTGAACTATGGCTCCTTGGTCTTTGAATATCATACATGGCGCTATTGTGGATTGATGCTAATACTGTCTTTGGGCCTTCATGGTTAGAAGTCATTGGAACAGTGGTAGCAAGCCTGTGAGTGGTGTGTGTGTTTGGCATAAATATTAAGGAAAAGTTGGAATACTTGTAAGCATGGCTGCATTGCAATTCATGATGGCAGAGTGTGCATATTAGGCTCTCTTCTGTGTTTGCAGTGGAAGGTGGATACTGTCATTTTTCTCATAAGTGCGGAAGATACCACCCACTCGCTTCTCTTGCACTTTTTCCTCAGAGTGGTACTTCCTGAACCGATGGTTCAATTAATTGATTGGGTTGATTTTGCGCTTTCCTTCCTAAAGATAGCTTCTGAATGATTTTATTGTAGCATATTTCAAATGTTAGTACATCCATTGACTCTTCTCTGTGGACTGTCTAAAGTGATGCTAGTTTGAAACAAACAAAAATAAGGACAAAGTCTAGTGTGATGGCTATCCTGCCTATAGAGAATAGGTGCAAGCTGAAAGGGTCCATTTTCAGGTGCATACCTGAACATATGTTCTTATGTTCTTATGTTCTTATACTTGCAGAGTGGCCTTAAAGCTGCTGAAGATAGCTGGTGGAGATTCTGCCTGCACAACTGTGCTGGTGAACGGCTAGCAGAAGCTGTTCTGCTGCCTCCTGCTCCAGCTGCTCCCCACATCTGGCAAAAGTGAAAGAAGGTGGTATGTTAGGGACATAGGATGGTAGAGCCCCATAGTATCCAGTCCTCTGCTGGCCTAAGGACCCTGAGGTCCAGTACTATTTCTTTGTAGATCTAGCCTGTCAGACACCCCTGAATCAATGAGCTGCAAGCAGTTCCCCATTTCTTTGCCTCTCCATCTGAGTGCACTTGGAAAATTGAAGGCTGGAAGAATCTGAAAGCTACTCTAGAGCATATTTGCAAACAGCATACCAGATTTTCTGCCTCCACGAGTGTCTCTACAATGACAAGATGGCAAATATTAAAGAGTTTAAATTACATTTCCTTTTTATTTTTTGCTTGTTGGTTATTGTACATAACAATCAGAAAGAGGGGGAATGTAAGTGAAAGGTATCAAGCGTGAGGGTCCTGCTTTGTATACAGCTGTTTAATCTCAAGGTTGTTATAAAGCATCTTAAATTCAAGGTGTACACCTTGATCAGTATGCATACATGGGGATTGGACTGAAGCTTATTCCTATTATTAGGAGGTGACTATATTCACATTTCTTATGAGAGCAGCTGTTCCCTACTACTGCTGGACCAGTCTGTCCATTCACAAGGAGCCAGCTGAAAGAGCAGTGTTACTTGTGTTAGAATCATAGAATACTAGGACTGGAAGGGACCTTGAGAAGTCATCAAGTCCAGTCCCCTGCCCTCATGGCAGGACCAAATACTGTCTAGACCAGTGTTTCCCAAATGGTGCTTCACAGAACCCCAGGGTTCCACAAAGTGAAAGTAAGGGTTCCACGAGAACTCCATCGCCGCCCTCCCCCTCTGCATCCAAAACTAACTTATGGAGCATAAAGACATATAATGGTG